GTGCTGCAGGCAGTGGCATTATCTGCTGTGCCACAGCACCAGCCCCTACGTGATAGTTGCTTAGCTATGACATCAAAAATCACTAATACAAAAGAGCGACACAGTTCAATCACATATTCAAAAAATTGTGCGGCAATTACCATCACGTGAAAATACAACACACAGAACGGAGAAAATGCTTGCAAATTATTTCTCTGACAAAGGAGTTCAGGCAGGATATATAAAGAAATTTTACAAATAAAAAAAAGAAAACAACAAAAAAGAACTTTCACAATCCAGCAATGAAAGGACGAAGATGCTACCTTGAATCTGGGCAAGGCAAGGACTTCAACCACTATACTATTGCGCCGGACACAAAAAAAATGGGCCAAGGATCTCTATAGATATTTCTGGAAAGATACACACATTTCCAACAAGCATAGGGAAGTGTGCTGAGCATTGTTAGTCATTTGGGAAAATGCAAATTACAACCAGCACGAGGGAATCCCATATATTAGGATGGCTACAAAACACGACAGACAGTACTAAGTATTGACCAGGATGTGCAGAAAGTGAAAATGGTGGGAATGTTAGATTTTTTAATAGTTAAACAGAGTTAACAAATGACCCAGCAACTCCAACTGCAGGTAGAGGAATGAGGACGCGGCCCCCCCAACTATTCACACCCAAATGTGCATAGCTATACTCATTACTCACCACAGCTGAAAAATGGAAACGGGACAAATGTCCACCCACTGACGGACACGGGTACACAAGTCAGTGTGTCTATGTTAGGAGATGCCATTCGATCATGAACAGAAGTGACAGGCTTGATACCTGAATGAACCCCAAGACTTCCACAAATGGGCCCAGCGCACTAGGGTAGTGGCTAAAAAGTCCTCACATTACATGCGCCAAGATCCCATATGGACGCTGGTTCTAATCCTGGCAGCCTTGCTTCCCTTCCAGCTCCCTGGTTGTCATCTGGGAAAGCAGTCGAGGACAGCCCAAAGCCTTGGGACCCTGCACCCATATGGGAGACCTGAAAGTGGTTCCATATGGGTGCACCCGCATGGGAGACCCAGAAGCGGCTCAGGGCTCCTGATTTCAGATTGGCACAGCTCCCGCCGTTGCCATCACTTGGGGAGTGAACCAACAAATGAAGATCTTCCTTTCTCTCTCTTCCTCTCTGTATATCTGACTTTGCAATAAAAATAAAATAAATCTTTAAAAAAAAAGTCTTTCCCAAATGAAAAAAGCCACTCCCCAAGAGCAGGTAGGACTACCTAAAGAAAATTCAGCCAAGTCCTTGAGATTAGTGGCTGTACAGGGCTGTTCATGGATCCGAGTTTTCTCCATAGGGGAGGAAATGTAGGGAAACGGATTGTAATGGATGCCTGACAGCTGGACATGCTAAACAGACACACCTGTGTAAGGTTGTGCAGCATGGGATTCATCACAGAAGCGTCTCTGAGGAGGGGAGTAAGCAAGTGCATGGAAATCAGCTCAGCCACAGGTTGTTTTGCTGCTGACGCTGGGAAACAGTGATGGGGCTCATCACACTACTAGTTCTTGTCTCTTTTTGGATTGTGGGTGTCCCAGAGAAGTCATCGGCTATCGCAGATGACCTGTGATTGACAAATAGCAATGTTGGCATGCACATGGGGATTTTGGGAGTCAGCCAACAGGAGAGGCCTTGGGAAGGTGGACTTCACAGGCAGCTAGCAAGAGAGCATGCAGTGGTCAACTGCAGACAGCTGGGCTCCAGGCGCAAGATGCCTCCACCACTCCAAACCCAGAAATCGGCCTGGTGACTGACAGCGCTCACCGGTCTAACCTTCCCTGCAGCTACTCCTTCCTTGAAAACTCTTCATTGGCAGGAACAGCGCATGAGTTCCGCATAACTGCCAGCTGCTAGAACTAAAGCTTGTCCTTCCACCAGCATTCAACTCGTGCTGGACTGCCTTGTCCAATGGTGGGCAGCAAGGGCTAATTATTGGTCCAGCCACAGCTGGGTTTAACATTCTCTGCAACAGGCCTAGTGGCTAAGTCCTTGCCTTATGTGCACCAGGATCCCATATGAGTACCAGCTCTTGTCCTGGCTGCTCCACTTCCCATCCAGCTCCCTGCTTGTGGCCTGGGAAAGCAGTCAAGATGGCCCAAAGCCTTGGGACCCTGCACCTGTGTGGGAGACCCAGAGGAAGCTCCTGGCTTTGGATCAGCTCAGCTCTGGCCATTGTGGCCACTTGGGGAGTGAACCAACAGACAGCAGATCTTTTTCTCTGTATCTCCTCTTTGCAAATCTGCCTTTCCAATAAAAATACATAAAATCTTTTCTAATTCTCTGCAACACACAAACATGGCGCCAGTGCGGTAATGCGGCTGCCACCTGCAACCCAAGTTGGAACGCTTATTTGAGTCCCACTCACTCTGCTTCTGACCCCTGTTTGTCACCAAGCCTGTTTCAAAAGGGGCTCACAATAGACCCCAACCCTGCCTTGGCCCCAGCCTTCTCTGGAGCATCAGGTGCAGGTGCTGCCTCATCTACCTCCATCCCTAGACGCTGGCTCCTGACTTTCAGCAAGCAGGAGCACCTGTGTATCTGCGTGTCCGGGCAGGGTGTGGGGGTTTGCAATAATTAAGCTGCCTCGGAGAAGCCTGAAAGCATTCTAAAACAGTTTAAGAGGAGTTGCCCAACGTTTCAAGCCTGTGCTGTCCCCAACTCAGCCAAGGGCCAGGGTCACATGGAGTATTAGAAGGAAATGGGAAAGGTAGCCTGGCAGGGACTGGAAGTGGGGACCTGTGGAGGTCACCTTTCCCTCATTGCAATGCCTAACCAACAGGGCCTGCCAACTTAGAAACAAGAGAAAATTTAGCAACTTACAGTTTTGGAGGCTCAGGAGCAGGAGGCCTCAGTGCTTCGTGTCTGAGATGGGTGATGCAGCGCACGCACGGCGAACCAGAAAGGCAAAGAGAGCCGCTGCCCACAGCTCACCTTTTATAACCAACACTCTCGTGAAAACACGCTTCCTCCCAGGTGCGCTAAGGGCCTGCACCAGGCCCCCACCTCTCCTCATTAGAACAGAATTCTACTCTGCCCCGCCCCTCACCTCCATAAAGTATCATTCACTTAGGATTTCAGCTTTCAAGGCTAAATGCAGAACCACGGCAGGCTCTGTGGAGTGGGACAGGTGAGGAGCAGAGTTGCCAGGGTTTGGTGCTGGAGAAAAGATCTCTATCTGATGTCCTTAGCCAGGAGAGGGAAAAGACAAGTGGAACAGGCGTTCATGTGACTGCTGAAAGGGAGGTGGCTGAGAGTGCCTTGGCGGGCAGAGTGGGCAAGGCTGGGTGAGGGACTCAGGCAGCCCTCCACTGCAGGAGTGGCCTTCTCCTCCCCCGGGGGTGGGGAGAGCTGGGCAACTGGAGAACCACAGACCCCAGCACAGTTTACACCTGCTGTCTGCAGTTGGGGTCCTGCCTGTCATCCTGGCCCAGCAGGCAGGTGGTAGCACCTAGTTGTTCCCCAAAATATCCCATTTGGATGATGGGAATCCCCACACACTGGAGCCCCTTCAGGTTGGGAAAGGAGAGGGTTCCCTTTTCATTTGTGTTGCTCCCTTCAGCTTTCAGGCACCACTTCAGGCCCCATTCCCCCTTGAGACATGCCGCCACTTTTCATCTTTCCTTTCCTTGCGTCTTTTTTAAAAAACCACATCTTTGTGTTTGAAAGGCAGAGTGGTACAGAAATAGAGACACAGGTCTTCGAGCTGCTGGTTCACCTTCCAAATGTGTCCAACCAGGTGGAAGCCAGGCCCCGGGGGTTCCATCCTGGTCTCCCCCGTGCTTGCAGAGACCCAAGCCCTTGAGCCATCTTCTGCTGCCCTTCCAGGTGCGTCAGTGAGGAGATGGATCGCAACTGGAGCTGCCGGGATTGGAGCAACGCTCCTATGGGACCCTGCCATGGCAGGTGTCCCAGAAGGCCAGCCCCCCCTCTCTCTCTCTCTCTCTCTCTCTCTCTCTCTCTCTCTCTCTCTCTCTCTCTCCCTTTAAGTTTTATTATTCATCCAAAAGGCAAACTGACACGGAGCGAGCTTCGATCAGCTGGTTCATTCCAACATTTCTGGGAATTCACTGTAGGTCTTCTACTGGGCTGACAAGGGCCCAAGCATCTAGGCATCCACCCGGGGTGCTCAAAAGTAGGATTCCAGCTGGGCACTAAGACACAGGCGATGGGCATTCCAGTGGCTGTTTAACCCACCTGGGTCCTCTTTTTCCTGGAAATGACGCCACCCTTGCAGGCCAAGGAGAGCGCAAAGCACACGGGAAGTAAGGGCTGGGGTTCACGCGCAGACCCAGAGACACCCTCCCTCCCTTCCTGTACAAGGAGCTGAGCGTCTCTCCACTGACCACTGTCTGGGGATCAGGCTCCATGCTCTTCACCTAGGGTTCTGGGCGGTGGGGACATGGGGCTCCTCTGCGGCCCCCGACCACCGGCAGAGGGCACCGCACACGCGCCTCGAGGGACCGGTCGACCTGTAGACCTCAGGCTTCGGGAAGAGATCCTCGAGGGGAAGGCGGGCAGGGCAGGACAGTTCTCATGTGGGGATCGGAGAAGGGCGGGGACCCTGGGACGACCAGGACCAGAGGACACCGGGCAGGTTGCTCGTCCAGCTTCAGGGTCTCCACTAGCGCGCCGAGAGGCGCTAAGGCCAGGCAGAGGCCGGGGGCTCCGGGATGCCCGATCGGTGCTGGGTTCGAGTCCTGGATCCCCCTGCTCCGCGGGCCGGCGGGGCGGGCCTGGCGCGGGGCGGTCGGGCAGGCGGGCAGGCGGGCAGGCGGGCGCCGCGGGGGTGGGGCGAGGGGCGGGCGCGGGGCCCGCGGGAGGCCGACACGTGACGCTGCGCCCGGCCCCGCCGCCCCGGAGCTACACCGCGGCTCCAGAGGTGACGGGCACCGGAGCCCGGCGGCGCGGGACTGGCCGTCGGGGCCCCGGGACGGCGGGCCCCCGGCGCGCCCATGCCATGGAGAAACTGGCGGCCGGATTGGCCGGCTTGCGCTGGAGCATGGGCGCCTTCCCGCTCGATCTCATCGTCAGCCGCTGCCGCCTGCCCACGCTCGCTTGCCTCGGGCCAGGTACCGGGGTGCGGGAAAGGACTGGGTCCCTGGGAAGCCGAGGTTAACCGCCTTCCCCCAACCCTGGCTGGGGCGGCGGGGCCCTGCCTGTGCGCCGCCCGGGGGAAGGGAAACCCGGGAGCTACCACGAGCACGGAGTCCACTGCTGGGCCCCCCACGCTCAGGCATAGGGTCAAAAGGCCTGGGGGACAGGGCTAGCGATAGAGTTCCTGGCGTCGCTGGATCCCCGAGCGCGGTCAAGCCTGGTGCCCGCCCCGTCGGTGCGCCCCTGTCCGGCCACCCTAGGACCCCCTGCTTCCGCTGGGCCCCCTCCATCCCTTTGTCTTCGCCTCTCACCCCTGGGGCTTCGGGCTCTCTGCAAGTTCCTCCACTCCCTACCTCTGCCATCTCCTGGCCTCGCTAGGTCACTCATTTCAGCGTCCTTCTTTCGTGTACCCCCGGGAGTACTCTTGGGTCCCTGAGGTGCACAGGCCACTTTCAGAGCGGGGTGGAGCAAGCGGACGTTGTGGCTGGGGGATCCCGCCCTCCCCCCCGCCCTCCCTTACTCCTCCTTCCACTTGTTCCTGGGACTTTGCAGATGGGACCATGCATGGGGGGCCAGAGAGAGCACACCCCACAAAGGTGGCATGGAGTGAGGAAACTGTGGAGAGCAGGGTGGAGAGGGGGGCGGCTTGGTTGGGGGAGGGGCTGGAGCTGGGGCTGGCAGCCAGGCCGGGGGTTTTGTGTGTGAGAAGAATAGGGGTTTGGCCCGCGTTGGCACACTCGCTTCCCTGCATGCTAATGGGGCTGGTGGCCGCAGCGGCTGGGCTGGGCACTGAGAGCCTCGGTGAGGCCCGTGCAGGCCCTTGGTGGACGCAGATGAGTTGGGTCATCGGGCAGGGGTGCCCGATGGTCCAACAGCGTCATGGTCGCAGGCATGGTCAGTGAAGGATCCTGGGTTTGTCTGTGTGTGAATGGGATGAGAAGCCTTAGTTCCCTCTTGGCACCTCTCCCTTGCCTGCTACTGCTTTGGAGGGGGCACCCTTCCTGGCAGAAGCTCTTCATGGAATGGGTATGTGTGTCCAGAACAACTGGCATGATGGCCTACTCTCTTTCTGTCTGTGGCAGGACTGGATGGAGGCCGTGGCTGGCATGGGAGCATGTCTGATCAACACTGTTTGTCCCCAAATGTTGTATACATCTCTGTCAGGAGGGTTGCTGTTTTGGGGGGCGGATCCTGGGGTGCCTGGTCCCCATCCCTGGCTGTTGTGGTTGGGCGGCTGGTGGTCATAACCCACGGCTAATGTGTATGTGTGTGCATGGCTGTAGTCTGTGCCCAGGGGAGGTGTCTTCAGGTCATGCCTAGCACCCCCTCCACCCCGATATACAGACACACATGCACACACTTTGCAGAATCCCCAAGCTTCCCAGGAAGCCATTTCCCAGTGGGTGGGGTGGCGGGAATTCCGTAGCTTGTGTCTGGGGGGCTGGGAGGAAGAGTGTACACACACACACACACACACACACACACACAGAAATACTCCCCACCCCCCGCCCTGCCATCCACCAGCTGCCCAGTGGCCTCCTGGAAACCAGCCTCCCTCCTGCTCCCCTGGAAACCGTTGCTGGGTTTGGAGCCTGTGGGGCAAGGCCCCTCCCAACTTCCAACACCTCTGCCCCTGTGTGGGTTGCCCCCGTCGCTGAGCTCCTGGCTCCTGCCTGTAAGACCTGCTTCCCCCTCCTTCCCCTGGCCCTCCAGTCACTGTAACCAGGAGGACGTGAATTGGCAGAGGGAGAGCGGAAAAGCGCTTCTCTGGGATGGCTCTGGCATCTGGGGAATCTCCCCCTCTCCTCTGAGGCCCCTGGGTGCAGCAGACTGCCCACAGCCAAGAGCAGCAAGTCCAGAGTGGGACCCTCTGTGCCTGCCCACTGGAGTTCCCTAGGGCCCTGGGGCTCTCCTGGCAGGGGCCCACAGCATCCATTCCTGCCAGGCCAAAGCATGGAGGACCCAAAGCTCCTGAGCCCCCTGCAGGGTTGCCTCTCACCTCTCTGCGAGTCCCCACTGCTCCCCCTCTTCTCGCTTCCCCAAGGGCCTGGGTGCACGCACTGTGGCAGGTCAGCACAGGTCACAGCTGGCAGCTGCTGGTCCCTGGAGCCTGGCTGACATGGCCGGGGTCATGGTGGGGAGGTGAGGTCATCCCTGCGTGCTCTTCCAGCCCCTGCTTATCTCCCCTCTCTTTCCTTCTTCCCCTACCCTCCCTCACTTCTCCCTCTCACCTCTCAGGGGAGTATGCGGAGGGCGTCAGCGAGCGAGACATCCTGCTCATCCATTCCTGCCGCCAGTGGACCACGGTGACAGCCCACACCCTGGAGGAAGGCCACTATGTCATCGGGCCCAAGATTGACATCCCTCTCCAATACCCAGGTGTGCCCAACTGGGGGCCGGGCACACAGCCTTGGGGGAGGGTGTTCCTGCACCTGCAGGAGGCAGGGCTGACAGGTATGGACAGGAGCAGAGTGAACAGCTGATTGTTTCTGTGCTGTTGCCTGGAGCCCTGGGTTCCTGGAGAGGTGGCTCGCGGATCCACATCTTTTTCAGGAATAGATTTGACAATAACGACTAAAAACATGCCCACATCCCTCCAGTGTTCACAAGCCAAACCTTCCCCCCTTATCCGCCTTCTTCGCACAGAGCCCCAAGAGAACATTTGTTGGGAGCTTCCTCCAACTCCCAACTCCCCAAACCCAGGCAGGAGTGCTCAGGGCCTCAGGGCTGCACCTGGCAGCTCGACTTCTGCTGCCCATAACTCTTGTTTTCACCCGGGGACTTAACAAGTGAGCGTTGACGCGTTGGGATTTCACATGATATTGGTGGGATCCAGCCTACTCTCAAGAGTGAAGGTGCGCTCCCTGCTGCACAACACCGGAACTGCAGGGCTGTTGTTGCTGCCTGGCGCCCTTTGTAAGCCCAGGACCCTACAGCGTCTGTATTCCCCACACTGGACTGAAACACCCCACCTGGCTCTTGGTCTCCCCAAGTCTCCTGGAGCCAGTGGGACAGACTGGGCTCCATACTCAGGCTGCTGCACACTGGCACGACCCTGGGCAGTGGGTACCTCCATTTCCCTGCACCCCATTAACAGATGACTGTCTCAAGTATCCCTCCCACCTGGCTCTCTTGTGGGCCTGTGGCCTCTTGAAGTTGCCTGAAGAAGGGGCCCCAGATTGTTGGCTTTCTGGAGTTCAGAGAAGCAATTGTGGGTGAAAGCCCTGGCAGAACTGTGACTTGGGGGGCTATGTCTGGTTCACTGTGTTATAAGGCCTTGGGAGACCAAGGCATGGCAGCTCTTAGGGGATCCAGCTCCAGGGCTCCCAAACCTGCCTTGTACCTCTGTGGTGGTGATAGGATGGCCCTAGGTCCCCATATTTGCTTGTAGCGGGAAGGGAAAGTGGAGACCAGGAACAGGGGGAGGGGCTGGTGAGTTAACAGGGGAGTCTCTGAGTGCAATGATTCCACCTAATGAATTAATAATGGCCCTGGGCTGGCAGGGTGGCCGGCAGTGGACTGTGAAGACAGCCTCAGCCAAGGTGGGGGAGGGGAGACGATGCAGGCAGTGCCCCTTCTAAGTGGGCGGGAGGTGCTGTCTGGCAACCCTGGAGCCTGTAAGATGCTGTTTCTCCAAAAGTCAGGGACACCTGCTCTTTCCACCATGGGTGTCTTCCTAGAGTGCCGTGCCACTCCCCAGCACTTGGCACATGCACCCTGAGCCAGATAGTCAGCTTCTATTTTACAGATGGGACAGTTGAGGTCCTGGGAGTCAGGGATTTGCCCAAGGTCATCCAGCTGGCCAGGTCTGACTTTAGAGCCTGTGCTGTCACCTCCACCCAGTCTATTAAGTGTGAGCTATGGAGTTGACGCCAGGAGTGGGGAGTGGGAGGAGAATGAGAGCCTGTGCCAGCGGTCAAGGGAAGGCTGAGGGGACATAAATGTGTCCTGGGAGGGCAGGGACAATGTGGAGGGACTGCCAGGGCAAGGCAGGCCCCTGGGGGTGCAGGAGACTGAGCAACCGCCCAGGGCTCCCACCTAGCAGGAGTCAGGAGAGGAAGCTGTAGGGGGAAGAGGCGGCTGGCCGTGGCTGGGTGTCAGTCCCGGGAGGTCTCCCTTCCTTCCACCCAGCAGTAATGGCCACCGCTGGGCTCTGGGCTGTGGCCAGGGGGGTTGTGCTGGGTGCCATGGTTACATCGATCTTCCCTGCCACATCCTCCCCCAGTTCCAGCCCTGACTTGGCTCTGAATCTCCCCCACGGTGGTGGTGGTGGTGGGGGCGGGGAGAGTGGCAGCCACTTCTCACTGCCTGGCTGCTTGCAGTGGGGGTGGGGGAAGGCTACTCCTGGTCAGTTGATGGCAGACTTCAGCGCCTGCTCCTTGACACCCCAAACTCAGCTCGTTACCTAGCTCCCTCTCCTTGTATCCCTGCCACCTTCCAGGGTTGTGGGTGGGCTAGAGCCAGGAAGATCCTGGAGTGTTTGGGGTAGGACAGGGCACCCTCCCAGCTTGCCTCTGTTCTCCCCTCGTGTCTCTGTGTTGTCCCTTCTCTCCTTACGCTGAAGTGCTGCTGCTTCACGCCCCGCCCTTGCCTCCTTGCCCTGCACACCTGCACGGGTGTCCATGGAACACCCTGCAGTTCTCCCCCATGGCCCCACAATGTGCTCCTGCTGGGTCCCAGCCTTTGCTTGGCAGCTGTGCCATTGCTGCGGGGGAGAGGGGACCAGATTGGTGGCCTGAGGACAGCACCCCTCCTTCCTTCATGTCTACTCTCTCAGTCCCCCTTCCAGTATCTGGTGGTCTGTTTTTCTTTTGACTCTTCCCTGAATGCTGGGTCATTTGCCTGCTCCCTACCCCGGTTTCCCCCTCAGCCTCCTCCCCTCCAGGCACCAGCATGTCAGGCAAGGCAGGCGGTCTCCATGTGGGATGTCTGCACTGTGCAATCACTCCCACTCCTCTGCAGCTCAGTGACACCTCTACAACACAGTCTCCCTTTCGCTTTTTGTCCCCAGGCTGTGGTAGCAGGGGTTGTGGTAGCCCCTGTAGGGCTGTGATGCATAAGGATCCTGCAGGGATGCTTGCAGGATAAACACAAGTGGGAGTGACACATCCCTGAGAACTGGGGACACTGCACCTGTCATTGTGTCACCTGTGCCAGGCTCCTCCCACAGTATCACACCTAGGAAGAAGCTGCCCAGTGGATGCCTGGACATTTTGTGCTCCTGAAGTGGGCACAAAAGAGGCATAGCACGAGCTGACAGTTACGTACGTGGGATTCGGGTTAGGTCATTAAAGTCCATATTTGTGGGAAGTGGCTTTACTAGGTTCATGTCAAAGGCCTCTGGATTGGTGGATTGGAGGTTAGGACAGGGTAGGACTTGGGAATACACTTTTGGGCTCAGAACAGCCCTTCTGAAGCCCCCAAGGCCTGGGGCAGGGGCTCTATTCTGCCTAAGGCAAGTGTTTGGGCTTCAGAGCCAGCCAGGGACTTTGATCTCTTATCCTGACCCCTCAGATCCTAAAGAGGCTGAGGGCCTTGCTTAGGGTCCCAGTGGGTCGGAGATCAGCCAGGAGACATGCCAGGAGCTGGTGACTGGACCTGGTGTCGTGTGGATGGTTGGCCAGAGGCCAGCTTTGCGTCCAGGAATTTGGGGCCAGTTGGCACAGGGTTTCTGTAAGCAGGTCCTGCTGGCCTTGTGTGCACCCACTGGCTTTGGGTGAGGCTGGATGCCTGTTCTGGGGGGAACATAGCGTGTTTCTTTGCTAAGGCTGTGCAGTGCCCACTCATGCCTGGACAGAATTGCCTTTTGGCTTCTAAGTTCTGTCTGAGATCGGTGTAGCAAGCAGAGGGGCCACCAGGGCTCCATGCAGGTACACCCCAGCAGCTGTACTTCCTCCTGCACAGGGAAGTTCAAGCTCTTGGAGCAGGCGAGGGACGTGCGGGAACCAGTGAGGTATTTCAGCAGCGTGGAGGAGGTGGCCAGCGTCTTCCCAGACCGCATCTTTGTGATGGAAGCCATCACCTTCAGCGTCAAGGTCAGTCCTTGACCCCTTCCCTGGGCAAGGGGAGGAGGAGTTAGCCAGTCAGAACGGAGAGAGGTACTGAACATGGCTTTGGGTGGCACTTGCCAGAAAGGCCCAGCAGGGGGCCCAATACTTCTCCTGAAGAGTGCAGCAGCAGGAGAGCATGAGTGCATGTGGGGTCATGTACCCCACTTTGAGGCCTTTTCAGGTAGCACTGGCTGCAAGGGTGCAGTGCCCACTGGGCTCCTGTTTACAAGTCCTTTCCTTTCTTTCCACCGGTTCCTCTTGGCTGGGTGAGCAGCACAATGGGCTGGCCCACACGGGCATCTCACTGGCCCGAGGTTCTGTAACTCCCCCAGCAGCAGCTGGCAGTCACAGTCGCCACAGGAGGTAGCACAGGGTCTCGGAGGCAGTGCAGCCAAGACCCAACAGCTGCCAGGGGCCACTCTGGATCTGTTTTTGGGTGGAGAGGGCCGCAGAGAAGGGCTGCTGTGCCCTTCCCTGCCATGGCTTTCCATGCAGGCCCAGGCTGAGGCCCTACCCTCTCTCTGGGGTCCCCAGGTGGTGTCTGGTGAATTCAGCGAGGACAGCGAGGTGTACAACTTCACGCTGCACGCGGGAGACGAGCTCACCCTTATGGGCCAGGCGGAGATTCTGTGCGCCAAGAGCACCAAGGAGCGTTCGCGCTTCACTACGCTCCTGCGCAAGCTGGGCCGGGCCGGGGCGCTGGCCGGGGTGGGCAGTGGTGGCCCAGGGACTGCCGGGGGCTCGGGCAGCAACGGCGGCGGGGCGGGGGCTCGGCCCATCAAAGGCAAGATGCCCTGCCTCATCTGCATGAACCACCGCACCAATGAGAGCCTGAGCCTGCCCTTCCAGTGTCAGGGCCGCTTCAGCACACGCAGCCCGTTGGAGTTGCAGATGCAGGAGGGCGAGCACACGGTGCGCGCCATCATTGAGCGTGTGCGGCTGCCAGTGAACGTGCTGGTGCCCAGCCGGCCTCCGCGCAACCCCTACGACCTGCACCCAGTGCGCGAGGGCCACTGCTACAAGCTGGTCAGCATCATCTCTAAGACCGTGGTCCTGGGGCTGGCGCTGCGCCGCGAGGGCCCGGCGCCGCTGCACTTCCTGCTGCTCACCGACACACCACGCTTCGCGCTGCCCCAGGGCCTGCTGGCGGGGGACCCGCGCGTCGAGCGCCTGGTGCGTGACAGCGCCTCCTACTGCCGCGAGCGCTTCGACCCAGACGAGTACTCTACCGCCGTGCGTGAGGCGCCCCCCGAGCTCGCCGACGACTGCGCCAGCCCGCGTCGTGGACGCCTCTGCCTGCCCGCGCTGCGCGCCCCCGTACCCACCCGCATCCCCGGCCCGCTCGTGCCTGCCCCTGCGACTGCCCCTGCCGGCGATGGCGACCAGGAGTACGTGAGCCCGGACTGGGCTGCCGCCAACACTGCCGCACCACCCGCGGAGATCCCCTATGAAGAGCTGTGGGCACACCAGGCTCCTGAGAGCCTCGCTGAGGCCCGCACGCGGCCGCTGCCCCCTGGGCCCGACCTAATCTCCTTTGGGGCTCCCATGCCACCATCGCGTAGGGAGCTCGAGACGCCGCCTCCTGTCCCTCCCAAGTCCGAGGCGGTGAGTGTCCAGCCAGAGGCTGTCCTGCTGCCTCAGTGCCCAAGTGCAGGACAGTCTGTGGTGTGATGCTGCGGGGAAGACAGAGAAAGACCCAACCACAGCGGTGTGCGGGCCTCACACAGGGCAGGGGCATTATGGGCGTACATCACCCTGGTAGGCCCTTGGCCTCTGAGGATGTGGCACAAGCCCAGGCCCCGTGACCTAGAAGGTTCTGTGGAACAGGAGTCCTTGGCCAGGGAAGAGAAGGCTCCACTGGGTAGAGACTCAGAGCATATCCAAGGCTCTGACAAGTCCTGCATGAAGAAAACCTGTTTTAACCAGAATTTCCCAAACACACCTGCCTCACAGGACAGGTCCTTCTCTGGTGATGCCTGTCACCATTCCCGAATCGGCTCTGGGGATCTGCCTGTGAGGAGGGAACCCGACTTCACAGGCTTCCCTTCCCTCTGCCCCAGGGTCACACTCTTCCTCTCTTGTTCCCTGGGTTGGGAGGGAGACCACCTGGGGTTGTCCCTCATCTACTTGTGATTAGTTTCCAAGGCAATAAGAGACTGTGCGTGTGTGTTGGGGTGCTGCAGGTGGGGGAAATATGTCCCACCTTTTCACTAAGAGGCAGCGGAGTGGGGTGGTGGGTGGCATTTGGGCTGCAGGGCAAAGCAGCTATTGGCAAAGTGGGTTACAAGTCAGTCCCTAGAGCCTGCCTGACCCAGCTGCTGGGGAGAGGGTGTGGGGAGGAGTGGCCGATCAGGGTCATGGCCCCCTCTACTTGCAGGTGAAGGAAGAGTGTCGCTTGCTCAACGCGCCACCTGTGCCTCCGCGGGGTGGCAGTGGCAGTGGCCAGCTCTCCGGCAGCCCCCCGGTGCCCCCTCGCTTCCCCAAGCTGCAACCTGTCCACTCCCCCAGCTCCAGCCTCTCTTTCTATTCTGCTGGCCTCCAGGATGGGTGAGTCCTCATTTTTCTTTATCCTGGGCATGGAGGGGTGATTGGAAGGCTGGGGTCCGGGTGGGCTCAGGCAGGCCTGGCACAGTCTAATGGCACACGCAGCAACTGGGGAGAGGCCCCTCCCCCAGTTGCCCCAGCAAGTTTCTTTCGTAAATTGGTGATAGGAATTGGCTGTAGGGGAGGATGCCCCTTGCCACTGTAAAGTGCCTGTTGAACTCAGTTTAATTTTCCCTTTGTGCTCTTTGCTCTGGGTTGGGGATGCTGGGAGGAAGGCCTGGTGGTCCCTGGGGTGGGGTCTCAGGGCCTGACCAGGCCTGGTGGGTCTGTGTCTCCTTACAGGGCAGGCTCCCGCAGTGGTAGTGGCTCCCCATCCCCGGATGCCTACTCCCTCTATTGCTACCCATGCTCCTGGGGAGACTGCAAGGCGGGCGAGTCCCCCAGCCGGCCACCCCCAGGACCTCTTCCCTCCACCACACAGCCGGGCCAGGCCTCCCGGGTTCCCACAGAGTCACTGAGCACTAGAGCTGCTGCCGTTCTGGGGGCAGACGTTCCCAGCAAGGCCTTGCATGGCTGCCTGCCTGCGTTCAAGCCCTCTCACCCTCCAAAACGCTTCATGCCCTTTGGAGCCCTCAATCCCTTTTCTGGCCCCCCCTACCCATCAGGCCCTGCAGTGGCCACCTCTTCCGGGCCCACTAATGCCTCGGGCCCACTGGCTACCTCCAGCCCTGCTTATTCTGCACACCCAGCCTCCCCAGGCCAAGCCTACCTACCTGCTGCCCCCTCCTCCTGCCCACCCTCCTTGTCTTCTTCCTCTGAGTGGCAGGAAACATCCCTGGAGCCCCTGGAGCCCTTCGAGCTGGGCCAGGGTATTTCTGCTGAGCCCGAGCTGCTGTGCTGTCCAGAGCCCCGAGCAGTGGGGGCCCCTGGGCCCTGCCTCTCGCCACTTGGCTCCACCAAGGCCTTTGAGCCTGAAGGTTTGGTCGTGCGGCAGGTTCCCACCCCGCTGTCACCAGCTGCCCTTCCGGGGTCTGAGGCAGGTGGGGCACGACTCTTCCTCTCGCAGGGGCGCCTAGATGGGCCCCCAGGCAGTCCCCGGGATGGAGCTGTGGGCTCTGGCAGCCGGGAGTCCTCATCGCCATCGTCGTGGCAGCCCCCTGCTGACCTGTCTGCGCTCTCCCTGGAGGAAGTGTCGCGTAGTCTGCGGTTTATCGGACTCTCGGAGGATGTGGTGAGCTTCTTTGCTCGCGAGCGCATCGACGGCAGCATCTTCGTGCAGCTCAGCGAGGACATCCTGGCAGACGACTTTCACCTCACCAAGCTGCAGGTCAAGAAGGTTATGCAGTTCATCAAAGGCTGGCGGCCCAAGATCTGATCCAGCCAGCCTGGGACTGCCCAGCACCAATGACAGAGCCCCTGGGAACCTGGCTGTAGGGAAGGTCTGAGCTAAGACCCAGGCCACTCAAGAGTGCCTACTCTGACTGAGCCACAGTGGGAGCCCTGCCTGGAGTGCACAGAACATATGGGTGGGGACTGGAAGCACCACGCTGGCCTTAGCAGTGACCTTGTGATCCTAGGCCACAGGCCTTTGGTGACCTCTGAAGCTCACTGATTCAGGCTGGAAAGGGAGGACAACAGTGCCTAATTCAAGCACACATTCCCCAAGTGCCCAGCCTCCTTTGCGCTCGGTGGGCTTCTTGGCCTAAAAGTGCCCAAGTCAGGGCTACTGATTTCTGTGCCTCCGACCCTTTTTGCTCCCTCCTGTCTCCCATTCGGGGTTTAGGAGTCTCCCTATAAGCACAGGTGAATGAAGCCTGAGCCCCATGCCATGGTGCCTGGAGCCTCCCCTCTGGCTCCAGTCCTGATATGCCAGCTTGGAAGCACACAGTGCTACTGTTGGCCTGTCCAGGGAGGTGCTCCTTGGTGGTGCCCCAGCTCTGTGCATACCTCATTGTGACCACCCACCCCCTACCTTGGTCTCCAGAGATCAGCTCTGAACCAGGGCAGGTCTGAAGAGCTGAAGCAACTAGGTGGCTGATTTCCCTTGTGCTCAGCTCCTGCCCCGTCTGGTTCTGATGAACATAGTCCTGCCTTGTGCTGTGGCACTGGCAGTTGGGAGAGAATGCTCGGTTGCACGGACAACCCACTTCTCCCTTTCCCTGGAGCTCAGTTTTGTGCTTGGTCACAGGCTTTGGGACAGATTTTTGTGTCCTTGGATCCCAGGTGTGGGCGGCATGTTTGGCCCTCAGAGTGGTCACTGCACATCACCATCCCTCATGCTCACCAGTGCCAGGGCCCCAGGGCGGCCTGCCTTCTCTGCCCTCCCTAATCTACCTAGATATTTATTTCCTCCAGTTTTTATCTTAGCAGTAGCAGCCAAGCTATGCTGGCGCCCATGTCCCAGCAGGGGAATAGGGCACAGGAACTGGTGTGCAACACCTCTAATGAATCTTGAAGGACCAGTGGAATAAATGCCAGCCTGCTGATGGCTGGTGCAGGTGCAACTCTGAGGGTCAGTTGCTTGCTTTGAGGGCTGTGGGTCTTGGCAGACCCCACGTGCGTCCTGACAGGCGAGAACCTTAGAGTATCATGGGCACAGGGCTGGCTCAGATTCCTGGAGGCAGCTGGCTGTGGTCCCGAGTCTGGTTTACCCTTCAGGACCCCACTGACTCCCATGATGGTTCAGAGAGTCACACTCACCTTGTACTGCTGAAGAGATCCCAATGTCAAAGGGAATGTCCGGCCTGGCAGAACGCTCGCTTTCAGGCTCACAGACTTCTGGGTGTAGAAGCCTGTAATGGCTTTGGAGTGCATGGCCTGTTCGCTGCTTTTTACTCCTCACCCAGAGAGCCTCGCTCAAGGTGAACTTCAGGGTCCAGCTCCTAGCAGCCTGCAGTGCCAAGTTGGGTCCATGCTGAGTTGCCTGCCTGCCAGACCCAACCACGGAGCCAGAATCAGGGCAGGACATGGAGTCCTGGTAGCGGGGGGCATCTAAAAATGTGCCAGGGGCTGGTCTGTGATCTGCACATACATTCTCAGTGTGCCTCCTGCTTGACCAGGCCTAGTCGAGGTCCAGTGCCACTTACCTGACCCGGCCACTACTTCTGCCAGAACACAAGGAGGAATGTTCCACACATGGAATAGGGGGAGGGCAGGCAAGTGGAGATCACAGCAGAGAGCAGGTGGCATGGCCTGGGGGAGTGTTCCCATGCTGCCCACATCCCTGTGCAGGTATGTCCCACCTCCACAGCTAGAGTGCCCAAGGCATGTAGGAGTGCTGGGTGGCATAAACTGCACCCTGACAAGTGCACTGGGTCTGATCAGATGGCAGGATGTCTAATCTGGGAAAATGGGGCTTCTACATCCTGGTGTACCAGCTGCTTATGTTCCTGCTATCCTGGCTAACCGAGGTCACTTCCCGAGGGAAGCCCAACCTAGCCAGGATTTCAGTGGCTTCAGGCATGTTCATTCCCTTTCTCATGCCCTGGCTGCCTCTGAAAGAGGGCTATCTGGAACCCTCTAGCATGGGGCTTTAATCCAGCTCACCTCCTGAAGGAGGGTTTAGACTAGAAGCACAAAGACAAGGAAGGAAGAAGCAGAGGCTGAGGGGTCTGGTTTTATTGTTGCCCTGTGTTGGCTGGGTGTGGAACTGCCCTCACTATGTTGGCCACCACAGCCCCCTGAAGGAAGAGACAGCAAAGGTGGCTCCAGAGGGCTTGGACTGGCCACTCTGGGCCTTGGGGCTGACCAAAGGAGCCCAGTGGGTCCTGCCTTCCAGCACGAAGTGCAAACTACGTCACAGTCAGACTTCATTGGGAGGGAGATGTGGTCCAAGCTGAAGGCACTTTAATCAAGCAGCAAACCCTAGGCCACCGCATGTCCTCCTCCTGGTCTTATGCGAATACCAGACAGTGTCCAAGGAGCAGCAGCCTGGCCAGTGGCAGGGGTGGGTGGTGCGCTGGGCAGCGAGCTGCTCACTGGTAGAACTTCTTGCCTGGGCTGTTGGCATGGTCAATCAGCAGCTGGCATGGGGTGAACTGCTGGCCATAGGCAGCCTCGTATTTGCGGAGTCGGTCCACTACCTTCTGAGCACCGAACAGGTCCACGAAGTGGAAGGGCCCTGGACAGCAGAAAGGCACTCAGTGGAAGGGGCAGCAAGCAGAGCTCTGGGGCCAGGTGAACCCCTCCCATCCTGCAGGACCAACCTCCTAGGAAGGGCGGGAAGCCAAGCCCGAAGACAGCTCCAATGTCTCCCTCGGCGGGTGTGGCTAGGATCCCTTCCTGCAGGCACATGACTGCCTCGTTCACAAACCTTGTTAGCAGGCGGTACTGGATGTCCTCGTCGGAGGAGCTGAGAACCACAAGACACCGTTAGGCACAGTGCAGAGCAGAAAGGGGACTTTCAGGGGCCAGGGGCTGAGTGTGCAGGGAGGACAGGGGTGGCTGCTCTGCAGAAGAGATGTGCCGGGGCCCCCACCTTTCCCCAGGAAAAAGGGGAGCGGATGTTCTTGGCCCTGAGCCACAGGGAACCCAAATCTCTCAACAGGCCTGCTTCTCGGCCATCTTCTGAGTTCAACATTGGTTAAGTGCTTCCACATGAGAACACGGCTCCAGGAAGGCAGGGGGCCCTGTTGCTGTAGGGACCCTCCCAGGGACAGCACAGTCCACCTGCAGGCCCCATGGAGCCCAGGGAGACTGTGTGAGGCTCCACATGTGTGGAGAGCCAGCACTGGGGACACTCTTCCTCAAGGGTACGAGTGGCAAGGACAGGGAATGGGGCTAGGGCAGCTCTGGACAGCCAGAGACACTGCATTTCCACGCCTGGGGCTCCTTGAGGGCACTTACACCTCGGGTTTGGCAGGCAGCTTCAGACTCGCCAAAATACTGTCCATGTCAGGATTCACATTCTTATTTTTTGAGCCCTCCTGATAGATGTAAAAGCCTTTTCCAGACTTGCGACCTGTAAAAGTAAGCAAAGGCTGTGTTGCTGTCAACTCTTCTCAGAGCCTGGGCCTGAGAATTCTCATTCTGTTGGTTGGATATGAGCTCTGGCTTCTCTTCTGAATTCTGGAATCTCTGTCTCATTCATTCTAGCAGCAGAGCTGGACCTGGGGGCCACCGGGTGAGCTTTAATGTCCAGAAACACAAGGCAGGGGTCAGGTCTTGGAAAAAGCCCCTTCCCAGGGGCCTCCACTGAATCCACAATGCTGACAGGTGGCTAGGCAGCAGTAGCTGCCCAGAAAGCTGGAGTGCTGCCTTTCTCCACGCCTCACTGCCCCCAGAGTAGTTTTCGTAAATCCTGTGACATCCCCAGACTTCCACACCAGCCTGCTCTGACTACGGAGGACAGAGTGGGATTGGCTGTGGTGCCCCGAGCTCACGCACCCAGGAAGCCCTTGGAGACCATCTGCTGCAGCAGCTCCAGGCTCCCGCCTCCGAACCGCTCCCCGAAGGCCTTGCCCAGATCCTCGGCCACATGCTTCGCTACGTCCACGCCGACTTCATCCGCCAGGGTGGCAGCACCCACAGGAAAGCCAAAGCTGGTGCTCAGGGAATCCAGCTTCTTGGGGCCAACACCTTCCTGAGCAACGAGTGAAGGAGGGCATCAGGAGGGGGTATCCCAGGCTCTCCTTCCACCCAAATCTCTCCAGACTGATCCCAAAACAGCTGCTGCAAAAGTTGCTTTTGGGGGCTGCCTGGCCAGGTTCAAGACTGGCTCATGGACCACTGGTGGGAAGGCTAGTCTTTCATAACACCTGACAAATGTGTAGCGCACACTTTTTGTCTGCAATTTTGTCAGCAGGGCAGTTCCACAGCAGACATGGCAGAGGGAGCCGGGGTGGAGCAGGGACCCAGCGCTCTGCATGAGTGGCTGAATGCCCAGCCAGGGAAAGACCTGGCCAGCCACAGAAGTGCACATGTGGCAGGAACACAGGCAGTCCTGGTCAGACCCAGTGGGCCCTGCTATGCAAAGTACTCTCCAGAGGCGAGGCGGGAAGAGCAAAGCTGGAGGAAGCGAAGTGAGCCATTAGCCTTATTGCAGTGTTGGCCCCACAATTCCTGCTACCATGCAGAAGAAGGCACCAAAGGGCCTTCCGGGAGAAGAGGTGGGAGCTGGCAGGCAGGCAGGAAGTATGTCCCCAGCTCTGTGTGCTGGGAGATGACTGGTGCACTTGCGGGCATTCCCTACCTGCAGGATCCGTATGACTTCAGACATCATGGGGGCCAGACACCTGGTGGTGTAGAAGCCAGGTCCATCCTGCAAGGGAGAGAACGTCACCTCACTGCCCATCCCTGCTCCCACTTCCCACTCCTGAGTCCAGTCTCCCCACCTGACATTTCTGCAGAATGTAAGGTGATTTACAAATCTCAATCTGAATTCTTAAAGAAAAGGAGGTTGGCATTTGGCACAGGGGGTTAAGCCGCCACCTGCAATGCCAGCATCCATGTTAGCACTAGCCTGAGGCCCCGATGCTCCTTGCTAATGGCCTGTGCCACTCATGTAGACGATTGGATGGAATTCTGAACTATGAGCTTTAGCTTTAGCTTGTCATAA